GACAGTGAAAATGATTTGCACCCCATTGGTTGTACCACATGGTTTGCCCCAGTCAATGGCACACCATGGTTTGCCATTGCACCCCGTAGATTACACATATGTCACATTACACACGTGTCGAAAAAGAACACGGATTGCACCCCAAATTTAGCACATCGAGAGAGCAATAACTAATCGTTCGGGGTCCACGTTGGCAAGCATTCTTTCCAATTGTATCAAGGACTGTGATACACAGCGTTTTGGTTTTGAGCTTGAGACACCACATTCACTTGCCGCAGAGTTGTTTGCGTCGCGCCGTGTCGATGGCAACAACACGCGCGAACCGATTGATTAACAGAGAGCCCACCATGATGAATGTACGAGTCTCCCTGGAGAGCCTCGCAGCGGCGCGAGGATGACCGCGCTTCGCGGCAGGGCTGGACAGGCGTCCATCTCCAGAGGCTGGCGCGCGGAAAGCCCGACATCAGGTGGCTTCGGAGCCGTCTGTGCTGCCCTTCGGTCGTCTGTTCGCCTCCTGCCCGTCGCGGAAGCGCGGAAACGGCACGCCACGTAAGGGGGGCGCACGCATTCGAGAAGGGTATTGGTTGTGCTTGAAGCTTGACGGCACGTCGTTGTTGTTTGGCGGCGGAGGAGGTGAGGGGATGGGAGGGGAGGAGAAGGGGTGAGAGGATAGAGTAAAGACAAAGAGGGGGAGTGAGGAGGAACGAGGACGAGGAGGAGGAATAAGCAGGAGGGCGGATAACATGGATGATAGCCCGGGGCGGGCTGGAGATAGAATACATGAGTATGTAAGGCAAGCAGGAGGATACAGATGCGCAGGATACCTCCGATCCACCCTCGGCAAGCTCCTCTTCTGGATCTCGACGAGTATACGCTGCATGTGGTTCGGTGCGTTACCAGCTCGTCGCAGAAGTATTGATGCTTTTCCTCTAGAGATTTAAAGGCTTCCCAGCCTCTTCACCCTTTTATCATTGTAAGCCACCGCCCGATGTGTGACCTCTTTGTCCCTGGCCAGTGCAGGAGACTATGTTGGAAACCTTGCATGTTCCGGCGTTCCGTTATTCTACCATGGCTTCTCAGAGATCGGGGGCGGCCAAGAGGGGGGTAATGACGAGGGGGGGGATATCATGGCGGGGGCCATGATATCTCCCCAGAGTTCATGGCGCCTCTTCTTATTGGAGAGGCCTGACGGCCGGTGCCGCCGACCCTTATCGAAAGGGCTAGGAGTGGGGGGAGGAAGCGGAGGATGAGGAGGAGGAGGAGGAGGAGAAGGAGGAGGAGCAGGAGGAGGAGGAGGAGGAGGAAAGGAGGAGGAGGAGGAGGAGGAGAGGAGGAGGAGGAGGAGGAGGAAGTGCATCCTTTGTGTGCCCGCTCGAAGAAAGTGCGCCCCGGGAGTGTGATCTTCTGACGTGGGACGTGCTCCCAGAAGAGGAAGAAGTGCATCTCGGGCGTGCCCGCTCGAGAAAAATGCGCCCTAGGGGGGGGGTATTTTGACTCGGGGCCCGCTCCTGGGACGCCTCTGCGGGAGGGAGGAGGAGGAGGAGGGAGGAGAGGAGAAGGAGGATAGGAGCAGGAGGAGGAGGAGGAAAAGGAGGAGGAGGAGGACCAGGAGGAGGAGGAAGTGCATCCTTTGTGTGTGTGTGCCCGCTCGAGGAAAGTGCGCCCCGGCGGGCGTCGTATCTGCCCCGGGCCCCCCCCGCCCCGCCCCCCCCCCCTCCCCCCCCCCCTGCGGGGAAGGGATCAAAGGGAAGGGGCTTCCCTTCGACTCCACTACGACGTTGTTTAATTTCGCTTTGGATAGCGCGCTTGAGGAGGAGAGTCCTGGGAGGGGGAGAACGGAGACGACGGAGACGACGAGTCGAACGGAAAAGCCCCTCACACACGCCGACAGGGTCGGCGGATTTCACTACGCTCCTTGGTCCCCCCCCCTGGTCCGCGCACATGCCTCGGCCCATGATTAGCACACACAGACACACCCGTCTTGGATAGAGAGATCAGCCGCACATTCACTCGAATTGCCGTTGCTGCTTCGTCGACGCATCGGTCGAACTGCTCCGCCCGTCCCTGCCTGAGGTGATGGACACCCCCGAAGTCACCCGTGTGCCCCGCCTGCGGATGTCAGTGATGACAGGAGCTCGAGCAGGGCCTGGAGTAGTAGGGCTTGCACCTCCTCCTCCTCCTCCTGCTGCTCCTCCTCCTCCTCCCCTTCCTCCTCCTCCTCCTCCTCCTCCTCCTCCTCCTCCTCCTCCTCCTCCTGCTGCTCCTCCTCCTCCTCCTCCTCCTCCTCCTCCTCCTCTTTTTTTCTTAGATTAAGGATTATGATGATGAAACCCATCCGAGAGCAGAGAGCAGGCGCGGGACAAAGGAAAATAGAGGCAGGCATAGCGGCGCGGAGCGCCTGTGCGGTCGTCGGCAGCGAGGCGAGACCGAGGTCAGGCAGGAGCCAGGCAGGTAGGGCGCTAGGCGCCCGCGGTGGTGTGGGCAGGGGATCCGCGATAGGCCCCCAACGCGAAATCCAAACCCATCTCCCGCTCAAAATAGGGGTCCAGAGGCATCCAGAAGTTTTCAAATTCCGTTGCTACTTCCATGGAAACCTGACCGACGACCTGGGGCCATCTCTCGATGAATTGCTGGGCGAAGGCCTTAGCAATCAGGGTGCACATAGCCGGGGGATAAGCTTTGACACGCGCTGTTCTCCAGAGGCCGTCGCCGTCGAGTCCCTCTAGGACTTCGTGTGCGCCTCTCGGGTGCGTACACCGACCTTGGTTGGGGGAGGCTTCGACGCCTTGGGCGAGTGTGGGAAGCCTTATCGCCAAGAGGGTGGTGGGTTTGACCGAGGGAGCTCCTCACATGCATTGATCAATGTCAACGCTGTCGACCCCCTGAAGCCCCCTGATATATCTGGCCTCTGGTAACTTCCAGGACGATGGAAGCTCGGGTCGGATGGACCCTTTAGGGTGCTCCATCGCGGCGGGTATGTCCAGGATCCAGGCGGCGTGGAGGAAGTAAAGGGTGGTCCTGAGAAGCTCATTGGCCAAGAAGACTTGGAGGGCTTCCTTGGGTTTCAGATCCCACCTCCCCCAGGGTCTCGCGGCCGATCGGACAGGACGGGGAGGGGTGAACCTACACCGGCTGGGGTCACGAAATCGGGCCACGCTCCAAGTTTCACATGGGGGTCCCGCCCAAATGCCACAAATCTTGCCCGCTCTCATGGCAGCGAGCCAGAAGCTCTTGGTCTCTGGACGAGTAAGGCCCCCCCGTTTTTCATCGTTGGCGATGTCGATGCTCAGCACTTGTACCGCGCTGGGAAACTGAGCCTGGAGGGCTTCAAACTGATGCTGCAGGTCACCTTCCCTCCTCACTCCCGCAAAAAATGAAGAAGGTACAAATGCTGAAGCCCTATAGGCTTTCTCAAGTGATCGGTGGTGCGTTGGCAACTCTGAGCGTGGGAGGGGAGAGGCGCGACTTGGGGTTCCCTGGGAGCCAGAGGCCCCTTGGGCCAGAGAGGGCCTGGGACCCTGAAAGCCCTCATGTTGGCAAAATGCTCCGGCCTCCCCGCCTTTCGATTTTCCTGACGCTGTCTCATGATCTCCAACTTGACTTCGCTGATCTCTTCTGGGGAACGCTGCGGGCAGCACTGAATGAGTCTCCTTCGGCACTCAGGGACTCTAACAAAATGTTTGTGAAGCCTGGCTGATGTGTGATGCTGGGTCAAGCAAGCAAAGCAAATGGTGCCAGTCTGCCTCTGTGTGGGATCTTCATGCTTGGTGTGCGCCTTAGCGATGTGGATTTTAAGGGCCACAGCAGTCTTGGCAACGTACCCGCAATCATAGCAGACGTAGGTGGCCTCAGTAACGTCCGACTCGTATCTAACGGGTGGCCTCAATGGGGTATATTTACAAAGGTCTTGGAGTTGTCGATGCTACTCCCTGTGGTCCGCAAGATCCCTCTGGAGGTATACCTCCACCGCCCGATCCCTGAGAACTTTGCCACGAAAGGCCTTGGGGGTGCCCCTCGCAAACTGGACCCATTATTTGGGGTCCTCGGGGAACTGGGGGTCCTCACGTTCGTCCTGAAGCCTTTCCCTCATCCACTTCAAGTCATCCTGTAACAACTGGGGCCAAGCGTCAGGAACTTGCCACAGGAAGTCAAGCATGGTGAGGAGGATGTTAGGAGCAGCAAGAAGCAGGCGGGGGAGGTAACGAAGACGGGAGACACGCATGTACGGCACAAAATCTAACTGCTAGGCATTGGCCATGAAAGAAATGCTAGTGACAGGTTCTTTGGGATCGTTACTACTAGCAATGCCGAGAGCCACTCGGTAAATTGAGTGGTACGCCTCCGTGACGTGCTGAATGCAGGCAACGCTGAGATTACTCCAAATCGTGCAATTAAACGTGAGTCTACTCAAGCAAAGCGATTGCGCGTACACCACGCGCCTCTTAACCTGCACAGGTGAGTTGGGGGGAAGCGCACGCCGAAGAGGGCCCAGTCCAGCATGCATGCTGGCAATTCTGCTAGCATATTCCACCCCTAGGGTGTCTGTGTCGGTGAGCTGGGTACCTAGGGACTTGAATCCCCTAACAATGGCCACTGTGCTCCCGTCCTCCATCGGGGTGTCATCCTTAGAAAGGTCTTGGTCGTGTTTTTGGTGTCCGGGGCCCCTAAAAAAGATCATGATCGTTGATTTGGCACAATTAAGGCGGAGGCCCGTGGGGCCTACGTGCTTGGCAATCATCTCGACCATTTCCTTAGCTTTCTCGAGGGCATGGGCTGGGTCCTGGACTATGGCCACTGCGTTAAGATCGTCTACGAATGAAACTGTGCCAAGGGAGCGCGCCGTGCCGTCGCTAAGAATGACCTGGTGTAAGTCGTCATTGTTAATCTGCAAGGCTAAGCCTGAGTGGGCCAGGTCCTCATCTATGCCCCCGACGATTTTAGCGAACAAGAAATTGAATATGTCGTTAGCCATGGGCATACCTGGGCGGGAGCCTGACCACGGCTGTATGTAGCTGGTGACCTCTCTCATTTTCCACCATGGTCTCCGGTTGACCTCAGCAACCAGGGCAGCGAAGTGGGGGTCTGTACTGCTAGGATTAATGACTGGCTCCCCCCTCATGCTTCTCAGAACAGCCTCTTGAAACATGGGGGAATACTAACGTGGTTCAGAACTTGCTGAATGTCCTCTTCGTCCCGGGGGGCACAAGTTCAGACAAGACCGTGTAGAACGCAGACGCCGAATCGGCCGTAGCGGGGATGGCCGTCTGTGTTCTGTACTTGGCAATCTGGAGCGCGGTCAGCACAGCGCGTGTAGCGTGCTCCGTGCCCATGCCAGGTCGTCCCCCACACTGCGTGGCGACGAGGGTGGTGTGCAACAGCTGTTGCCATCGAGAGCGGAGGAACTTGTGGTAGTGTTTCGACACCACCACCCCAAGCAAGATCCGACGCCAGTCAACATCGAGGTGGGGGGGTCCCCTTACCTTTTCCGATCTCGACCTGGATGCCCCCCATTTCCCTTGGGGCGATGCGAAGGAGGTCGCCCGTGAGTCGATCGGGCCCCCCCGACTTCCCCCCCTGGGCCTTGGCGCACTGACGCTGCAACTCGAGTCTAGTAGGAGTAAGCTGGGAATTCCGTGGGGCAGTGGGGTCCAAAAGCGGCTTGTGTGCAGTATATCATTCCACAAGTTCTTGGGAGGTACGCACGGCCCCATTCTCGATGTTGGCAAAATACAACTGCATGTGTTCCGCAATTTCCTGTCGGGTCGTGAGCGGGAGGCCTTCGGACCAAGCCTCATGGGGACGGCAATGCCAAACATAGACTTGCGACCATTAAAGGTAAGTAAGGTCTGAAGGGCCGGCCACTCCCTAACGGAGCATCTTCCTTCTATGTGCTCATTGATCTCCAGGGCAATTTTTTTCCAAGAAGTCAGCTCTGTCTTTTTTCAAGGCTTCCACGAGAGGCGGCCGCGAGAGCGGCAGGAAAGCTTCCAGCGAAACCTGCCACTCTTGTGCATCCGTGATCCGCTGCTTGAAAAGGTTGGCCGCCGCGATGACAAACTCACCACATTCTCTGGCCCGGCTTTCTGGCAATTGCTGCAAATGCCATTGGAGGTCTCCGCCAGTCAACCTCGCAGCGATGGCAAAAGTTCTGGCCGTGCTGGCCTGGGCACCCTGCTCGGGCTGGCGCACGCGGTGCAAAACTTTAATGATGGCCCGCCTGACACGTATGAGGGGGAAGGTGGGCTGAGTGCTAAAGGGCTTATACGGGCGCACTGGGTGCTGACCGAAGTAGAAGTCCGCGCGCTGGTTGATTTGAGTCTGCACGTAATCCCTCGCATCGTTCATATTAGTGGTCCAAGGCGGACGTTGAACTCCCTTGAGAGCGGCTCTAAAATTGTTCTGGAGCTCCAGGTCCCTAAGCTTTTCGGGGCCCCTCCTCTTGGGGGCCCCTGAGATTTTCCGGTCCGAGGCGTCCTAAGTTATTCGAGCCGCGACCAGCCTGTGATTTTTCCACCCCGTGCCCGTGTCAAATCCACTGATGGGTTCGGCCGACTGAGTGTGCTGCATGAGCTGGTGTGACATCACAACATAATCGAGCCGATGCAAGGTGTTAGCATGTGACGTCCACGTGTGGCCAGATCTTTTCCCTGGAAGAATGGTATTGGCGGCCCTAAGCGAGTTTTGCTGCAAAACTTCATGAAACCTACAGCCCACTTGGTCCTGCTGCTGGGGGAACTGCTTGTCTCCCACAGCTTCACTGGTAATGTGTCCTAGTCTACCGTTCGCATCCATGAGCAAGAGGTCACTCTTCCATCGTATGACATCGGCCTCTAAGCTTTCCCAGAAAACGTCTTGCTCGTTTTTAGGACGGCTGTTGTAGGGGGGCATGGGCAACGGCGACAGTGAGCTTCAATCCTGTAGCACGAATCTTGACCACTAAAAGCCTGGGGACGTTTTTAAGGATAACAACGTTCCTTTCATTCAGGAAAAGAGGCTTGCCCGAAGCCGTTCCGTACTGGACCCCCGCGTTGACCCACAATTCCACCCCCAGGTTGGCATCTGATCTGCCTTTGCCACCTGAACTGTAAATCGAGAAACCA